ATGGGGCTATATAGATTATTCAGTGAAAATGCATTATTTTTAAAAAAAATTCTCCTCTGACCCTGAGTATTAAATAAACTAACTAAGTACATAGTTATAATGAGCAAGAGTGCCTCTTCCAAATATGTTAATTTCATGGCCCCTATGTCAGGGGTTTAGCTATTTGGTGTAAGGAGAGGGGGGCTCTACATTACATTAATTCTTTGAAAATCTTTTCCTTTGCTCCTGGGTATTATGCCAATGATCTAAGTATATATATATATTTATGATGAGGAAAGGTGCATCTAGGAAAATGGTTAACTTCATGCACCCTGGATCAGTGTTATCGGGGGGGGGGTACATAGTCTGAAAATAAATTAATGCTTTTAAATTTACTCATTAGTATTAATCAACCATATTTGATGAAATAACATTTATGATGATAAAATTTTGAAATATGTGGCCCCAGGGTCTGTGGTTCCTGTGGGGTGGGGTGCACAATTGCATGGTTTAGAATGGAAGTGCATTTTTCTCTTAGTTACTCTGATCTACTTATGGGTGTTAAGTGACTATCTAGTAAGCATTGCTAAGTGTATAATTATGATAAGCAATAGTGCCTCTTTCAAAATCGTGATTTTCATGGCCTCTGGTTTAAAACACAAACTAAATTCAATTGTTGGAAAGTTGTTACATGATACTCAGGTGACCTATAAGGCCCGTGGGCCTCTTGTTGTATTTTCTTGATTATCTCCCCTTGGAAGGGGTCTTGGCCCTTGATTTTAACAATTTAAATTCCCCTTCACCCAAGGATGCTTTGTACCAAGTTTGGTTAAAATTGGCCGTGATTCTTGAGAAGAAGTTGAAAATGTGAAAAGTTTACAGACGGACGGACGGACGACAGGTGATCAGAAAAGCTCACTTGAGCTTTCAGCTCAGGTGAGCTAAAAATATCACACTTTAACCTTAATGACCATAACTTTTTGAAAAGTTGGTGTTTAGACTTTCATACTTGACATGTGTATTCATTGTGACGAGACCTTTTGAGTTTGTATTTTATAAATATTTTTGACCTTAGAGTTTGACCCGCTTTTTAAAACCTTTAACCTTGGCCATGACTTTTGAACAGTTAAAACTAGGGCTTTCATATTTCACAATTGTATTCCTTGTAACATCCTCTTCCTTTGGGTACAAACACTTTTAATCTTTTGACCTTGACTTTTGGAGCTTGAGATGCTTTTGAAAAGATTAATCCATTGTCATAAGATGCCAAACTAGGGCATCAGTGTTTCACGAACACATCTTGTTTAACATTAGTTTACAAATCATGTAGTTTTTGGCATGAAATGAGAATTCAATAATGTCACAATTCATGACAACATAATAATATTACATGGTCAGACACAATCACCTATCAGTCAATATGACTGAAGTAGATAAAGCAGAGTTTTACAAAGCCAAAATGAAGTCCCTGGGGAACCTTGCTCTTATTATTAAAACTCAACAAATATAAATTCAAAACATGTGCCTTTTTTAAATATTTTATTCACTTGATTAATACATATTACAGGTAAAATTTCAACAAAAAATAATAATGACTTGCATAGAGACATGAAACTTAATTTTCATAAGGATATTTTATAATTTCTATTTTTTTGTTTAAATAATTTTAACCAACATACACATGTGTTTGAGCCCCATTTCATGCATTTTACAATTTAAAAAAAAATATTTTTAATTTCCATATGTTGTGAATTTTTTGTAACAAATTTTATTTGCACACAATTTTTCATGGAATAATCAATTTTGCAGATTTTACAATCAAACTAAATTTTTGGTCTTCGTCATTTAATTCCACTGTAAAAATGGCCCCTGGATATTACAATTGTTTCCCAAACAAAGAGAATACTAAAATGTGTTCTATTTTTCAACAATGCTCTTTACCCAAATCGATTTCAAACAAAAGTGTACTGTGTAAAATACGATGGCATAAATTAAGAAACAATTATTTCACAAAAATGGTTTTAAAAAAAGTAACAAGATGAGTATTAAATTGTCATGCAGTAATTGATGGATTTCTAATTCACAAGCATTTACAATAACTTGGGCAAATTAGATTTAATATAATAAAAGAATAACAGAAAAACAAAGATTTGAAACATAGAATACATGTACCATAAAACAGATTATTCTGGTAAAACTTACATTTTATTCCTCTCATGCTAATACATTATTAACATAATCTTTCTAAAACCAATTTTTGAACTTTAACATTTTAATTTCTTCAGACATTAAAAAATGTTACATTAGTTTTGCATTAAAGAGAACATGGGTTAAATTGATAGCTGTATTTATTTTTTCACAATCTTTCAAATGTATATCTTGCTATCAAAAATTCAAAATACATTACATTTCATTATGGAAAAACTTAACTTGGTCTTCTAAAGTACAAGATTGATCTTTCTGAATTTCTATTAGAATGCAGGTTAAACAGTGTTTCTTTTTCTTTTTCTTTTTTTTTTTTTTTTTAGCTCTAGACCAATTTTCGTAGCAAAAACATGAGGAATGTGCATGTACATTGTTGACATACAAAAATGATTTTTTTTTTTTTTACAGAGTGTTAATTTATTTTGAATACAAAAAAAGAAAGAAGATAAAACGATGTTCAAAAAGAATGAATGTGTGAATCTGATTAATGATTACAATGGTGCAGTGATCTTAGATTTACAAGCATGATGAGCCAAGCGGATTGTCATATAGATATCAAACTGAATTCTGGTCTGGGGGAAACTCTACATTTATTGCACAGCAAACCACAGGATACCTATCAAATCCACAAGAACTCATGTTATCACATGACATCATATAGTCCTCACTGAAGTTTTACACTGGACAAGAATACAATTCAAACACACTGGTACACATAGCAGTTCAATATGAAATTGTATATTCAATTTCAGGTGCATGTGACAAAAAAAACTACACAAAAATTTCCATACAATGTACCATCCAAGGTACCGTACTTATGTGAACATACAACATTGACCAGGATATTGAATTGGTGAAAGAAAATCAACACCATAAACCTACTATGTATGCAAATACTTGAATAATATGAGACACAGAAATACTGATGTATAAATACATATAGAAGTAATGGCTTACATTTAAAAAAAATACCTTTGAAGACTTTGTTCACCTAACACATTTATCACAGGCTCTTCTAGACTAGCCAGGAAAATACTGTAGACTTATGCATAAATTACTTAAGGAAATTTAATATATCTTATACCCTCTACTGAACCTCTCAAGTGACTGCATGTTATTGTGTAAATCACATTGCCTTTGTGTGTCCTATTGTAAGATTTTTCAAATTTCTGATTTTGAACCTTAATGATCCTCTTTCTAATCCAAAAATAGGGTACTGTACATAAATCACTAGATCATTGTGAATAGCAAGTTACATTCAGAGAATGAAATATCAAGGAAATCCGGACGTCTGCCAGTCAAAGGTTTCAGATCGGCTACTCTCATCACCTTGACTAGCAATGATTAGAAATTGGTTAAATTTATATCAATATAATGATCCCAAAGGGCTTGCTAAGGAAGACTACCCCCCCCCCCCAACATATCACACCACTTACTAAAATTCATGCCAGTCTCTGTCATAAAGATTCATCTGAGAGTTTTGACAATAAATAAATTAAAACACAAGTCATCAACTTACATGCTCAAAAAGGAAAACTAATCACTTTTATAACATGATTGGAGAAAACATTAATCAACATTAGCTTTGTTACAACAACTATACTCATTTCGTTACAACAACTATACTCATTTCAAAAGAATCAGAGAATGTATAATTTATAAGAATTCATTGTATTAAAAAACTCAAACACTTCCAAGAGCAAAGGCTTTTTTTTTATATACATGTACACACATCATATTGCACATCAATTGAACAAATACCTTAAAGTTCCATAGGAAACAGTGTCTAAATGTTCAAACAGTGTACTTGGTACTCTTAACCCCTAGTGATACAAGTATCTTTTTCTTGATCAGTTTGCAATCACCATTATGAAAGTGATATAATATTCTGAAGGCCTAATTCTGATAACATATTTTAAAAATAAAAATAGATAAGTGGGTAAACTGCAGTGGTTTCTTATCCACACGACCCTATCATGAATGAATTTGCACTCTCAAGTATTCAAGTAAGTAAACAAAATATTTGTATAACACTTCATGGTGTCATGGTACAAAGTCCATTCAGTCATCGGATCACAATAAAGAATTTTGTTTGCATCATCAACACCCATTTACATATTTTGTACATGGACTGTACATCCTTGCTACAAATGCACAAAATTTTGGATTTTTTTCTCAATGGCTTGCAACAGCATGTTTAGGTAGTGGGTTAATGAAATTACCTGACAACCCATAAATTGTCAGATATTTATGTGAACATGGTGAAGATTCATTTTTCAAAAAATAATTCTAGATAAATTATTTCTAAATGAGAACCTAGTGTCAAATGTACCTGATCTATGCTTGAATACATTCAAAACCAGTCATTTTACAATCAAAATGTAGCTCTGCATGAGTAATTATTAAATTTTCTTTAAAAAAGTAAAATTCCTGTGAGTATAAAAACATGATTGAAAAAAAAAATGAATCAAGATTTAAACCATTACCCTATCAGTAAATCATCCAAAAAGTTGATTCATTCATGTGCAAATACATCATGTACATCCTGCATAAAATATATTCCAAAATCATTTCTAAAATAATTAACATATCCTTCCAGGTTATATCTGAAACATTTGTTCACATCCTGTACATATTCACAGTAATACTGGCCTGTTTAATTAATGAAATATTCCTATTATCATGAATGGACCTAATGTTAATACATGTATACATGCTGTACACAATATCCCTTGTGTAAAGAATAATTCATTATTTTAAAACCACTGCAGAAATTGCAATTCAACTGTAACAAGGACTATTGAATACTATAAAAGTACTCTAAGTATAGATCAAAAGATTAAAACTGACATTTCGGAGATCTTTCATATAGATCTGTTTTCACAAGGATGCATGTAAAGAAACTATCTAAATAAACTACAGTAATTACTAATTAATAAATAAAATCAACAAAGCAAACTTAATCAATACACACACAGAAGTTCTTGTTTCCCTAACTATCAATAGAGTTCATGGTAAAAACTCTCTCTCATTATGCCTAAATAAGAACAGAGCAGAGGAACTAGAAAACTGGCACCTATAGACACCATGTAATACGTGATGAACTTTTGTGGCACCTCCGAGCCTTCTCGTCTCTGTGCCTGTATATCTTTCTTGTCGATTTTGTACAGTTTACACAGAAAATGAATTGACAGTGGTTTAAAAATAGCTCTAATGACAGCTAAAATTGAGACACCCAGAAGCGTTCTAAGAAAACTGAGATAGACCCAATCCCAGGTTGGTGCTGGTAAAGGAAATGGTGGGCCCCGCTCGGATTTCGTGAGCCATCCGAATTGATATAATAACCAGTATCCAGATGCCACTCCTCCACAGATGCCGTGGACATTGGCGGTGTCGGCTCGAGCAGTATTCCAGATCTTCTGTTTGGGATACACCCAACAGAACAACAAGTAACCCCCTAAAAACATGGTCGGGGCAAGCGGATGAGTCACTTGTAGAAGGTCCAGGGTATGAACCCAAGGTAAAACTGAGGGAATGATTAGGCAGCCAAATGCAACACCTGCTACCACATCCTGAAAGAAAAAAATCAATAAGAAAAAAAGTTTGATAATAATGCATCATGTAGGCTCTAGTCTTCCCTTCGTTTAGAATGAGCGTCAGTCATCAGTATATAAAGTATTCACTGAATTCAGTGAATTGAACATTTTAATGTGATAGGCTCAATTAAAAATAAATTGAGTTAAGCTTCTTTGTTTAAACTTTGAACACAAAAGGAATATTTTCATGGGAACATTTTTTAAATAAAAAATATTTTGCCGATACATGTACTTTTTAAATAGCAAAAGTGCTTTGTCAGAGTTTCTCAATGCCTACGAAGCATAAACAACCGGTTTTAATTCTAAGTCATGTGAAACCTGTACTTGAATATTGATTAATTCCATAACCTAACACCAGATATTTTTACAGAAGATAGAAGTACAGGTGTATAGAGACAAATCCTTCTAAACTTTGGAACCTTTTTTTTTCAACACAGGGCAGCATTAACATAATGAGATAAGTAAATACACACATGAACACAATACATCACTGATCTGCTGGAGTAAGCCTATTTGATAGACATGTCTACTACATATTTAAATGAAGGGCAATTAAATTTTTTAGGTGTCTAAAGAAGGAAGAAAATACCATATAAGCAAAAGTGACTCATTCTAACATAGTATACAGCAGTGTAACTAAGAAACACAATAATTTTGTACATGCACTGCCAGTGTCATTGCAAAAACTTGCTAGCCCCATAATCTAAATTTTTTTTTATTTAATACATATGACTGAAAAATAATAAATTTCCACTCTTATAGATGTTTCTATACCCCCATTGAGGATTCAAGGGCATATAGATTTTTGTCACAGTCTGCTAATCTGTTTGTCTACTTGTCCAAAAAAAAAACTTTAACCTTGTCCACAACTTTTGAACTTGGCATGACAAGACCACCGCTAGCCAGTCAATATACTAATACGAATTTATAACTGACATTTCAATAGAGTACATGTATTCTGAATATTTTCTTGATTCTTGTTTTTAACAAACATTTTTGAAAAATTTCATTGGATTTTGATCATTAAATTCAAACACTGTGTGCATTCCTAAGTAAATTCTACTGCAGCAGACTAGAAGCATCCACACTGTGGCACACAAAACCCCCAATCCTAGAGGTACCTACAATATAGCAGCAAAGGGTTTGTAATCCTTTATATAATTTTCATAACTTTTAAAATACATAAAAATTGAAGAATGATAATCAGATTTTTTCTTAATGATAAATTTAAATAATCAATCATAGTGTGATTAAATTTTCTCTCTCTCTTTACCATTTTGACCCTCATCCCACTGAAAGCCCCCCCCCCTCTCTCTGGGGGAGGGGGGTGGGTGGGTGGAGAAATGTACCTCAGAATCTATAATCTAATTTCAAGTCATTAAATTGTATTCTCAGTCTAGAGGGAATTTTTTCTACATGAAAAATTTTGATGAATGAATTACAGAATAAACGAATAAGAACCATATTGAAAAATTAAATGCTAACATATAATCATTTTGTGGGTATATAATAAAATATATAAACCTGTAATCAATTGAAACGTAATCAATTAATAATTAAATAATAAAACACTACGAATTATAAATTGCAAATACAGGAAATGATTGATGTATTCTGTTACATTTGTGTTCATTCAAAAAAATCTATTTAATTACAAATCATGCATTCTGTCAACACAGCTAAAACTTCTACTAGTACTAAGATACTTGTACTGATAATATTATGATTATTAACATTTATTCAGTGAATTGTAGTTGTTGAACACTATAAAATCACCTAGTAACACTTTTATTAATAAAGAAATACTTTTTCCCCTTAGCAAGATAGGAACATACTTAGAAAATGACTGACTGAATACTAATTTTAACCTTTAGCCGTGGGTAAAACATGAAGTGGGAATCAACATCCAAGATTTATAAGTACAGGGGTGAATCATTTTATAAAGCACGAATTTATAAAAATACAAATGCAAGTATAACTTTATGTTGACTACTTTACTCGTGAAGTATATTTAAATTTTAATGCTAATCAATCATATACTTATAGCCAAGACACAAAGTGTAACTTACATGTACTGGTAGAATGGTCTACCATGGCCTACATGCACTCACAAACAATTGAAAGACCATTGATGCCAGTAGCTTAATAACTAGCGCTTGGTATCATGACTAAAATATTGTATCAGGAAACATTGGAATAATAAACTTTGTAAGTACAATATGTACAAAATATTGAATTAAAGTATATCTTTTTCTTGCTTTTTTATTATGTGTTCTCGGATTGCTATCAACATAATCACTGATATTGAATTGAATGGACACAGGGGGTGGAAGTACTTGGCACCAGGCTGAGACTAAGATTTTGGGCAGGAAGCAAAAATATTTATAATGTAATATCCTTGTTGCAATAGCTACAAATCTTCAAGTCTTAGTGGTTCATATAGTATAAACAGCTCTTCTCTGACTATGCGTTCTTACAAGGTCAAATGACTATTTTTTAACATTTTACATATTGTAAGTATAACAGTGGGCCTTTATAATACATACATGAGTTTTTGTTTTATGATGCGTGCAAGTAACTTAAGACAAGAGTATACTAGTCTGTCATGGTTACATTACGTTGATACAGCTGTCACATGAAAGTTGACCTGGTTTGAAGAGGTCAAAGAAACTGCCACATCATGACATATATGTTATGTAAAAGGATTCAATCTGTGTTTTCACAATAAAATGAAAAAAGACTTAAATTTTCTGATAAATCTCTTTCCTTACTTATACTGCCCTATGAGCACTCTAAAAGTACAATGGATTAAAATCCTTGGAATTCATTCAGGAGTGACATTCCTGGTGAAGGGGAAAGTCCATTATTAAATAGATAATAAAAGATTATACCAAAGTTGTTGAACTATTGACCCAGTGGGTGAGAATTATGAAGGAGAATGTATTATTCTTGATCCTCATATCAGCTGATGAACACATGCATGTACCACGTGACTTTAATAAATATACATGCTGACTTAATTCCTAACTGGTGACCTAGTGCAGAATCGAAAACATTTGAACTAGAAAATAGACATATCAAAAAAGTAAATTCACTGACACACACACACAAAAAAAGAACTGTCAGAGGGCTTTGATATATACAAAGTACCTGTATATGAATAATATATAAACAGAAATCAACTTTGGAAATCATGAAATATTATATAAATACACTGCATGGGTAACACTAAAATCCCAGCTGAATAAAAAGCTTTTTTTTATTTTTATCTGAAACAGAAAAGGAAAACCATTGGCTTTCTATCTAAAAAAAAAAATTTTTTTATAATTATAAATGATATTTAAAAGGATATTTGCTAAAAATGTATTATTTAATTATTTCTTCCTGCATCTCCATTTATTGTATTAAATAACAGATAACGGGGAAGTCAATGTCATTTTTCAATATTATATTCATGTATTATTCATACTAGTAAGACTACCCAAACAATTTGAAAATGGGGAGCTTTCCTTAACTAATAATTGTTATAAATGATGAATTTGAACAAAGAATATTTCAGTAATTACAAATTAGTTTTCAAGCACCAGGATGCTACAGAATGAGATATTGGTATACTTTTTGCTTCATTTCCATCAAATTCTCGAAAGGAAAACAGATAGTTAGGTACTTTGAAATAGCTCTGGAGTAAGTAAAATAAGACATGTGAAAGACCACTTTCAGACAAAATTTCTTGCTTTAAAAACTTTACTTAAAAATCTAATATATCCATAGATCTTATAGAGTGAGAGGAGATCATTTTAGACAGTACTTAATCTGACTTTTGATTAATTGAATGTAGTTAAGCATAAGCTCAAATATTTCCATGCTTTATCAGATTGATCAGCTGTGTGCACGAGGAATGTATCAAGCTACTGCCAGGTAAACATTGATTACCTGGTAATGAATTTAGAATAATTACCCCTTAGCACCAGGAAATCTTCATGTTTTAAGTATAGTGCACATGCACTTCCTCTGCATTACAATTACTTGATAGAAACAAGCCTATAATTTATGTATATGTAAACAACATTTACACAATAACACTTAGTCGATATGATCCATGGAATAAAGCCAAGCTAAGGGCAAACTTTTTTCCAAGAATTTTTTCCAAGAATTTTTTCCAGTCAGGAACATCAAGCCGGGCAACCCCCCCCCCCCCCCCCCCAAATTTCTTCCAAAAACCCTACATAATTAGTGACATCTGTGCTACAAAATGAACAATCGTATCACTATCAGTCTGTGTCTTTTATAATATTAATTATTTTGTTTTTCACCAGAAGGAAACCCACCTTAATTTTTTTTTACCCTGCACCAAATACATTTTAGGACAAATGAACCTACCTAAATCTACATTGTCACATATTAAATCAATGCTTTAGTTATGTAATTGGTCATGAATCAAACTTTATTCTTCAATTTCCATGGTGATGATGCTAATTCTAAGCATCTTAGCTACATTTCATATGCAACACCACATACCATGTCAACTATAAGCTTCTTTCAAATGCTCACCTCATAATATGATCGGAGTAAAATAAGTAAGCTGAAGGGAATCACGGTACCCACAGTGGCATGTGTCGATGGCATTCCATATTCTAAGCTATATCTACTCTCTAACTTAATTACAGGCGGTGACGCAGGGCGAGGCCAGCAGATAATGTCCTTCAAAGCTTGGCCTGCCCACATTGCAACATGCCACACAAAGGCCATTTGTCGCATCAAAGTTCCATCCAAATTCCAATGAACAAATGGAAAAAAGATGAGATAGAAAATCTCATTTCCAAGACTGGCACCGAAATGAAAGAGAATAAAGAGAAGTTTGTTTTTAACTTTGTAAGAAGATTTTCCTAAATCCTCCTCCTCTGATATCTGCTTTTCTGTATCACATTTTTGGTGAGTGATCAGGCCATTTTTCTCTGAAATGTGACCGATTCCATTGACTGAGTATCCATTTTTTACATGACCATTCGATTTCAGAATATCAGCAACATCAGTATTTTCAGCAAGTTTTGAAAATCCATTCCTCATTCGAACAGTGTTTGACTCAGTGTGACTGGTATCATTTTTAAAGCTCTTTTCTGTTTTTTTGTTTTCAGTTTCAGGATCAGAAAAATCCACACCACATCGTTTTTGAAAATCAGCCACAAGCTCGGGACTTTTCAGTACCGTTATTAAATTTGTTATTTTCTCCATATCTTAATTCAATATCGTCTGCCTTGTTCACTAATCATGGATCACTGCATTGTTCACTTTGCTATCTACCCACTCTCTCGATTAAAGTTAAACTCTCGACTGCTCATCGTCTCACCACAAAGGAAGTACCGATGTGACCTCTAGCGTTTGTGAAACAAGGGGAGTTACTCTAAGTTGAAAAAAAATGGTGGATCGAAGTTTTTCTCTCAAACCAAGAAGGAAAAAAAAAATGATTGTGTTACAATTTATATGTAAAATTCAGTTTTAAATATGAGGAGTACAATGTCAGATATTAAAATTTTTGCTGAAAATATACATGTATTTTCAAACTTAAAAACAAACACCCCCCAATGCCCAAAGCAAAACAAAACAACCCCCCAAACAAACACCCCCCCAACAACATCAACAAACAAATAAACGAACAAAATATATGCCATAAATAATGGCATCCCATCCGCTAAGACACCGAAGGGGGGGCACAATTCTTAGAATTTGCTTACAGAAATAGTCTTCTTTCAAGCTGAATGTAAATAATTTTCGAACAAGCATCATATGTCATGCAAAATTAATCACCAAATTATTTATTTAAATAAGGTCAAACATGAAAGTCAAAGTGTCTATATCATAGCATGTTTGGTAAAATCTTGTCACAGGTAATGCACAATACGACAGCCCTGTCTCTTCTCTTTCAAAAGTTATAAAGAAAGATAACATTTTTAAAAAGGTCAACACTTCAAGTTCAAGGACACGGTAGTAAAATCATGACATATTTAGAGAGGTCTTGTCAAACTGAAGGTAATAAACTTGTATAATATAAAAGCCCTACTTTTTCTCTTTCAAAAGTTATGGTTAATTTCCTCTTTCAAAAGTTATGGTCAATTTTACATGTAGATACACATATGTGTAATATGAAAGTCATACCTTTTCTCATTCAAAAGTGAAGGCAAAGGTTACATTTTTTGAAAAATATGTCAAACTTCAACATCAAGGTCACGATGTCAAAAATCATAGTGTATTAAGAAAGGCCTTGTCACAGGCAATAGTACACATGTAATCTGAAAGACCTACCTTTTCTTTTATAAAAAGTTACGGTCAATTATTTAAAGTAATATGTTAATTTTTGTAAAAAAAAAAAAAAAAAAGTAGGTCAAACTTTAAGGTCACAGGGTAAAAAAAATCATAGTATATTTAAAAAGGTTTTGTCACGGGTAATGGGCATGTGATGTCACGGGTAGTGGGCATGTGAAATATGAAATCCCTATCTCTTCTCTTTCAAAAGTTATGACCACAGATGGACAGACGAATTAGAATTAACGCCCCTCGCTTTCGCGAAATTGCCTAAGATGTCAGCCAACATAAGGCCAAACGGTAAAAGCATTCGTTTAAAGAACGTTTGTATCGACCTTACAATTTGCGTTTCGTTGACTTAAAATATTTTTCCCTGTATCACCAACTTATAAACTTCTCCAAACTTACCGATAAGTGATACTTGCAAAAAATGACTACTCAACCTCAGTAGGACGCAAAAATAGCACATGATTTACATAGAATTAAAAAAAAATGCTATGAAGTTTAACGTCAGTTCTGTCTGCAAATGAAAGGTAATCCAGAACAAATGTATTTTGTTTAAAATAAGATTGCAATGAATTCAATACGTTCAAAGGCATACCTTGAAAATTAAGAACCTCATATTTCTAATATTTAAAAATTAATGAAATTTTCACAGAATCAAGAAGACAATATCAGTAAGTGATAACGAGACAAGGTCAGGTCAAGGTTTTTTTTCTTGACATTAAGAATAAAAAATAACTGTTGCCAATCATGTGATACCTACTTCTATTTCAAAAGTTTAATGATTGTTCTTTTTTGCATAAAAACATATAACTATAACGTGTCTATAGCACGACATTACCAAATTTACATAAATAATAAAACTTAACTGGATATTGGCTAGTTCGAATTTTCTCTGTTTTTCTTAATTTTTTTAGGGTATATTAGTTTTTTTCAAATGCCTCCTATATTTAACTTTTTCTTATTTTCACATATAATAAAGTAGTCTTATAAATGTACAAAATGATACAAAAACAAAAAGTTTTGTCAGTTTACTGTACTTTTTATGGATTTTTGGCTCAGATCTGCACTTTGATAGGAAGCGTTTAAAAGCTAATAAAGTTCTAGTTTGTTTAAAAAATTATATTTATTTGATAACTTTTGAAAGTTTAGTCCCTCATTATTAATCTAACTTACATTTGAAAATTTCTCTAAAAAAATATAACAATCATGTAATTTTGAAAGGCAGAAAAGAAGATATTTTCATACGCCAACATTCCGCCAAAAATATAAAAACGCAGTTTACCATTTCTATTCAAAGTTGTACAATTGTGATGAGGAAAGAAAAATATGGTCTTTTAAATTCCTTACACCTCAATATATAACACATATAGGCAAATATACTTTGAATGTTTCATCTAGTCAGAAACCAGAGAAGAATCCTACCTTAAGAACCACATGCTTGGCGTAAATAACGTTTTTTCTTTGTTAATTGACCCAATGACTTTATTCAACCGCTGGGTCAGTATGTACTGTTAATGAATTACATGTACATGTATTATCGCCTTCTCAAAGGTTGACATTCCACTGTCATACAATGTATAGCTCATTAATATTTTATTCTTTTTTCTTGCACATACTTTATTATAATATTAACAATATTCTGATTAAAAGCAAAGAAAGTATCCGAAAAATGAACAAAAAAGATGTGTTTTTGAAACTCTGATACCCCGTATATATATGAGGATGCCTATTACGAGGGTTGAAGTTTCTCAAATGCCAGTCAAATTCCAAGGTCAAAAGGTCAAAATTGTTGGTATCCAAAGGAAGGTCTTGTGACAAGAATATACCAGTGAAATATGAAAGCGCTAATCCCGGTTAAAAAGTAAAGGTTAATATTAAAGTTTTTAAGTGGGTCAAACTCTAAGGTTGCAGTGGCGTAGCAAAAGTCAAATATTTTGACAAGCAAAAAAAAAACAAAAAACAAAAACAAAAAAAAAGCAAAAGTACCCAAAGTAGAAGGTCAACTTTTTAGTCACAGGCTTTCAATTAACATTTCCTATAGTGTAAGTTGAGGTCAAATATTTTGATACCCATAGAAGGTCTTGTCACAGCGAACATGTCATGATGTGAAGTATGAAAGCCCTAGCACAGAATTTTCTAAAGTTACTTAAGGCAAAGATTAAAGTTGGGAAATTTTTGTTTAAAAATGGGCCAAACTGCAAGGTCAAAGTCACAAAAAACTATACATACCCCTGAATCTTCGATTACGGGGGCATAAAAAATAATTAACCATGTTTGATTTTTCGGAAAAACTTACCTTCTTTAAACAGGTCGGAAAGAATACTCGAAATCGGGCATTATCCGTGAAATCGCATATATATTATAATACTCGATATTAAGGTATCGTTGAATCCGCGCAACTTTCTATAAAAACTAAAGAATAAAGCAAAGGCGCATTATGCCAGTTACTGTTACTTGTACATCAGTATCTTGCAGATTTATTTTTGTTAAACCTAATTTATATGGTTGTCAAATAAGTTTTAAATCACACGACAAACACTGCTGGGGTAACAATTAAAGAGGACACAATGGCGTTATAATTTTTCAATATACATGTGTAATTTCTAAAAACAAATAACTACACTTCGTTCGTAGGACTTTCATATATCAAAGGTATATTTCTTGTAACAAAACCTTTCTTTGGGTACCAACCCATACGGGGGCACCAGTGTTTCACAAACACATCTTGTTTCATGTTTGTTAGCTACCATTACATTGGCGTCGGAAGCAAATTGAAAGTGGGGGGGGGGGCTAAGTGTAAGAAAATTTTTTGTACCTCCAAAAAAACCTGACAAGCAAAAAAAAAAAGGATATGTCTATTTCCCAAACACGAAAATCCTATTTCGGGGGGGGGGGGAGGGGAGGAGGGCAACGTTCGAACTCCAGTACCAAAAATTTTCTTCCAAACACCAACACTTTTACCAATTTTAACCTATACTAAGACGTATCTGTGGAAAGGTGGGGGGGGGGGGGCTAAACTTACGAAGATATGTTCAATGTCTATACTAAGTATATATTTGGAAAAAAAAAGTGGGGGGGGGGGGGCTAAGCCCCCCTAGCCCCCCCCCCCCCCGTTCCGACGCCTATGCATTATTCCTTTGAGAAAAGACGCTTTGAAACGTAACGTTACTTAGGGTCCCGGATTTTTTTCCTGTTTGGTTTGTAGAATATTATATCCCCCAAAATGACGTCATATTTGAAAAAGTGCTTAAGCGGTTTCAGTGGAAATTATGAAGTTAAAATTGTTCCGAGTTTTGCGAGACGACGAAGACCCATCTCAAGGTTTACTACCAAAAGATCCCGATTCTACAGTA